GCGACTTGGCCATCTTTCCCGTCCTCCTCCCTTGGATCTGACCTGGCTTTGGCTGGGACATCCCCCTCTCCGAAGACTGCCAGGGCAGGGGCCAGACGGAACCGCGGCCTCCAGCACTCTTTCACGGCGCCATCTTGAGAAGGGAAGAGGGTGACACCCGTCGCTCCCTTAGCTAGTCCCCAAATCTTGGTCTCCAGAGCCTCTAGAAGGATGAGTCCCCGGGGCAGGCAGAACGAGACGCCGGGTTCGACAGCTCTGATTCCAGGCACTGGCGCGCGTGAGGTAAAAGGGGCGAGGGACTCAGTGCCGGACAGACTGGGGACCGCGGATAACCAGGGGTCCCGCACCGCTCCGGGCAGAGGGAGGGATGGTTTGGTTACCTGGGACCGCAGCACGCGGAGCTGCGGGCTGAAGCTTCCCGGCAGCAAGTCCCAGGCGTAGCCCGAGAAAAGGCTAACGCTGTGGCTTTGGTGGCGGCGCGTCTCTTTCTCGCGCCGCTCCCCTCAGACTGGACGGTGCGGGGCTCGTGCCGTGGTGCCACCCCCGTCGGGCTCCGTCTCCGCCTCTTTCCGCTCCGCCTTCCTCTTTTCTTTCTCCTCCTCCCCGGTTGCCGGCGCTCGAGTTCCCACTGATTCTTCCTCCTCCTCCCTCCTCTGCCTCCTCCCCTCAGGCCGACCGCCGGCTTCTTCCCAAACCAAAACACAAACACAGAAGTCCCAGCGCGGGAGCCACTTCCGCCGCCGGGCGCCGGCCCTCGCCGCCACGTCGCTTCACGTAGGGAACTACGCCCCTTCGTCACTTCCGGTAGTCGCCAGTCCGCCCGTTCCATCCGCTCCCCCGCCCCCTCTCAAAGCCCTGCCAGTCGCAGCTGGTCGCGGGGCGGGGCGGGGAGTGTCATGTGACCTCCCTAATTCCACTGCCTCCCTCCCCCCAGGCGCGCGCGGCCCCGCCCTCGCTGGCGCCATTGTTATCGGGGCGGCGGTCTTGGGTTCTCAGCCTCCGGGAGCGGGAGAAGCTCCAGTACTGCCTGGCTGTCGGGGAACCCGGGGAGAACCTGGGTTTGTTGTGCTCAGCGACGAAGTTCCCTCCGTGAATATTAGCTCACAGTCTCCTTTATCCTGCCGCGCAACACCCCAGCCCTGGCCACCCAGCCGTGGGGCTTTTTTGAGGGGCCCCCTATGTGTCCCTGGGAATGGGCGAGTCGATAAAGGCAGTAAGTGGTATTTACTCCAGGGAGGAAGCTAAGACCCTCCCAATATTAAAAGTTGTCTTTAGGCGGGGAAATCTTACAATAATAAACTTGCTTTTATTAAGCGTTTCCTGTTTTTGGTGGGGTGGGGCGAATCCTAAAATAAAAACTTTATTCCGTTTCCCTTCATGAGTTACCTACCGTGCTAAACGCTTTACAGAAGTTATCCGAAGTCGTCTTCACCGCTGCCTGTCTATTACAGTGCCTGGCAGCCAGGAGTCATGTTTATGGAATTAACGAGAGAGGCGTGTCTGTTTTACAGGTAAATAATTTGAGGCACGGAGATTGTGTAACTTGCCCAAAACAACCGCGGAGTTGATGATGAAACTGCATTCCAACCTGCAGGCTGGCCCCAGAACCTGAGTTCTTAAGCACAATTCCAGTGAAAGACTATCAAAACATTCATTACTGTCCACTGCAGACCTCCATAAGACAGGCTGCTTTGGTTAAATCGCACACAACAGAGTATCTGGCCAGGCATCTGAGACAACAAATTTTGTAATTTGGTAGAACGTTAAATTGATTTTCCCTCAGGATAATGGCTACTTTTCAGTATGTCATTTACCATTTATAGCTCTGTTGTGAGGACATTAATATTGATTGTCTACGATGTGTACTTGGATTCAGATATCCTGTGGATGATCAGTCAACGTTATGCAACAAAGATGATTTGAACCCTTGAAGAGCCAGCCTTTCAGATCAACTCCCTAGTTACTAACCAAAAGAGCATAATGTGTCATAATGTAAATGGTATCTGTGGCACTTCTATCTCCAAGGAATTGTTCCAATATGGTATGTTAGTCATGGTAATACCTCTTGGACAATCCTCGGAAGAATCAGGAAATAGGATATGTCACATCAGTTTTGGCGTGTCAACAGTATGTGCAAAACCACCTTGTACCACCACAAACCTGCTTCTGCTTGATGACTGGTGTTGGCCTCCCAATCACCCAGACTTGAAAGAGCAGAATCATCTTCAACTCTTCCTTCTTTCCCTCATAAACCATTGTCCTTTCTATCACCAGAATTCTGCTACTCCCCAGATCTGAGATCTAATCCCAATACCTGGGCCATGGTAGTATTTATATAAACTGGAATTAATGTACACTCTTGTCTTTTCAATCCATTCTTTACACTGTAGTTAAGTCACACTCAAAGATGTTCAGTGGTATCTCATTACTTGCTAAATAGAGTCCAAAATTCTTCAACTTTGGACCCAGCTGACTTGTCATTGTATTTCTATAGCCTACTTATCTGCAAACTGGACCTATTCATACCGGTCTACTCCGCATTCCCAGAATGTTGCCTATGTGTTCTCATCTTTTGGGATCTTTTGATCACTTTGTTCTTTCCATCTAGAACACCATTACCACCCATCACTGAAGGTCTCACCTTGGCCAGGATGCCAACTCATCTGGATGGCAGCTAAGGATACTTCTACAGGTTTTAGTTATCTTTTTTTTGTTTGTTTTTTTGCTTGTTTCATGATACTTTGTTTCACTTGTGTAATGGTTTCAATATCTGCCTTATTGTACAGTTAAAGAGTGCCTCAACTTTTCTCCTCAGGCTTCGATTCCTATCAGGATTTTAAAGCGCTTAAGGGCCAGGACCATAATTTTATTCATCGTTTCAATTCCTCACAGAGTACCTTTGATTGATAAAATAGAGACCCCCCCTAAATATTTGTGAACTTAATTACATTTTGAATGGTGAACACTTGATGTAAGAAGACCTTACAAATAACACATGGATGCTGACATTTACAAATTGCTAGGAACTCCCCATTTCATCAGTTTCATTGTTCTAGGATATTGCTTCTTTCATTTATTTCTTTCTACTAATTTTGTCTTTTAATTCACCTCCTTTAATAATACATTTCATAATATTTTAGAGTTTAGTCATAATGTTTGTGTGGGAGAGTACTATTCCAGCGACTAGCACTTCTAAGATCCAGTGGTAATTTTAGAGAGGTTGAAATGTCACAGTAAAGCTTTGCTTTTATATTGCCACTCGTAATATACCTTTTTTTCCCCTATCGCCAGATAACTGAGGAGGACTCATAATTGTATATATATTTTAGTGTCACATGTGGGATCCTACTAGTTGATAGAATTTGTTAAGGAAGCTATAAAATGAATGGGCCTTAAGTAAAGTCATAAAGACTTGAACACTGCCCTTAGTGCTGCCTTTGCCCTGAAATCTGTAAACACCCACACACAAATTTCTGGCACCTCTCTCAATCACCCACAGTACCCCATATTTTCTACCCTCTCTTCGAAGGTATCGTTCCTCCATTGTGTATTTGAAGAATAAGTCTTTGCATAGGTAGTAATGAATGGTAACATTTACTTTTAGCTTGGACTGTCTGGAGAAAACCAAAAGGTAATTCTAACATATAGAATTGTAGACATGGTGGCAAGGCAGTGAGAAAAAGGCTATGGAAACTTGATCTAGTCATTTAAAAGAGCTTTGCAGGGCATCATTCAAGTCTCAGCACAAATGTTATCTACCAATTGCCCGATTTACTTCAGTTGACTTCTAAGCCCACCGATTCTAAAGTTAGCTTCCCTCCACATCAAAGCATTCTATTTTCTTCATAACAGTTATTGATTTTTTTATTGATTCACTTGATGGTTATCTATCCCTACTAGAATATAAATTCTGTGAAATAGGGATTGGTTTATATTCTATTGTATCCCTAGCACTGACACAAAATAGAGAATCAATAGATATTTGTAAAACAAAAGAACTGAATGAACACTTACACAAATAAACCTTGATTTCCACATTATCAAGTCATTTAAAGTGCTAACGGAGAGAAGAGTATATTAACTATCTAGAAAATTACAGTGCATAGTTTTTACAATGTTAAACAGTATTCCCTAATCACTTAATTTTTTTTAATTTTACAAATATTTCGTAGAGTTCTTACAGACTGGAGTCCTATAAATTCCATTCAAATTCTAAGCTAGATGTTCTATGTCCCCTATATGGGTAGAACATGACAAGAATTCACCAAATATGGCTTCATTAAAATCTGACAGTGTAACAATCCCAATTTAAAGAAAATCCCATACTTGAAAACAAAATTTGAGTTTGCCATAATATGTAAAAAATTCAATATGCATTATTGTGTAACATATCTCAAACTCCAATATATTTCCTTTAAATGCTATTTAAAACCTAGTTATTGAAGTATAAGTGTTCTCAAAGACTTTAACATATTTCTATACCACAGCTGACAAACACAACTTTACAGAATTTAAAGTAGCTCTTTAGCGCTAAAATATCTAAACGCAGTGTACCATGTACAAGGAAGGACCTAAAACTCGTGGTTCCCACCAGAAAGAGGGTTACTTATTCCCTGATCACTAGTAAAATTAATAGACCAAAGGCCAGGAGGCAGTCTTGAAAGATAAAGATCTTTAATCTGGAAATGAAATTTAAAAGATAGACTATTTCTAGGACCTTATAGAGAGGAGTAATTTAGGAGTCAACAGTGTGTCATCCTCACAGGAAACAAAACTTTCTCTGGTGAGCATTTGCTCTAGTTTCCAAGACCACATACTTTGTTTTCTTGCCCTCCAAATCCAGCAAAGAAAGGGGAAAAAGAGTAAGAGGCTAAAGAAGGGAGGGAAAGACGGAGAGGGAGAGAGTCAGGAGGAGAGAGAGAAACCAAGCCAGGAGAAAGGGAGAGAGTTGGGTGGGGATCCCCCGGTGAAAGAATTGCCCGCCAAGCCCCGCCCCTGTTTCCCAGGTAACCGAGTAAACAGACTTCCATCTCCTTTTCCTCTGTGAACTCCGCTAGGTATTAAGTGGTAGGCAGGAAGCAGTGGAGAGTGGAGAGGTGCTCTTTCGTGAGAGAAGGGTCCCCCGAAGGGTTGGAGCCCCCCAAGAAATTGGGAACTTCCCTCCAGCCAGGTACAGCTTTCCCCTTAGAGATGAGTGCCCTTGGAGGAATGAGGGTGTCTGAGAGATATTCTCCCCAGAGCATGGAGGTGGGATTCACCCAGGAAGGAAAGGATGACTTAGGAGAGAGGAGAGTCTTCATGGGAACAAAATCTCCCACAGAGTTGGGGCTCAGATTGGGATTAGGAAAAGAAGATTTCCCACGGAGGGAGAGCTTCTTGGTTAGTAATAAATATGGGGAGAGGATGGCATCACCAGAAACAAAATCTCCTTTGAGCAAAGAGCTTGAAATGAGATTAAAAAGACAGAATATTTCTAGGAACCTTATGGAGAGGAGTAATTTTGGAGTCAACACGGCATCATCCTCACAGGAAACAAAACCTTCTCTGGGTATGCTACCAGGAAGAGTGGGTTTAGAAAATGAGTGTCTTCTGGCGGGGTATTCTCCTGGAAGGATGCCTCCCTTGGGCATGGTGTATGAAAGTCCGCAGGCTCCAGGGAGCAGGAGAAGTCCTGTGGCTGGTGCCCCTGAAGGGTTAGGGGCTTCAGTGGGGAAACAGCCGGTTTGGGGTGTGGAACCCAGGCAGGAACTGGAAAAAGAGTCGACCGGTGTGGTGATGAATCCCAGTGCAGAGATGAAGCCTCCTGTGGAGGTGGGCATTGGGCTACCACAACCAAAGGAGCCAGATGAAATGAAGAATACAGAACCCGAAATGGGCTCGGTGATAGACCTTGAGTGCAAGTTTGCCCAACAACCTGAAGAGAAAAAGGAACCTGAGAACATTGAGCCAGGACTGGAACCTCCAGATCACATCAGACCCATATACGCTGGGAAATTTTTTGATCGAATGCCTTGCTGGCCAAGTGTAAGTTTTCCTCTAGTACTTTCCCTGGGGACTATGTATAGCCCTATCTTTATAGAGATGATAAACTGATGAGACTTGTTTGGATTTGTGGAGTCAAACTGTAGGAATTTCATTGGGATTCTGATATTTCTGATCCCATTGGACTCTTTCCAGCTGTTACTGTGTCTGATTGTCTGCCTCCATTCCTAGATGTCAGCTTTGTTTTCTGTGCCCACCAGTGATTCCTCTTGATTTTTTCTTGTTTTCTCCTTTGACCTTCATTTCATTCCTCCACCTGTATTTTCTCAAGTCTTCTCACGGAGATATATCTTGTATCCTAATATTCATGTTGCTTTTGCCATTCATTATTTATTCTGTGAGTTATTTATTCTTTCAGGAAAGACTTGTGGTGGCCATTATGTTGGGCACAGGGCAATATAAAGGGAAAAGCACATGGTCCCCACTCTCTAGGCACTCACTCCAGTGTTTGGAGACAGATAACTAAACAAATATTATATAAATTTTGAAATGAATAGGAAACAAATGTGATTCTTCCTTAAAATAAGCACACCTCTAAGCCCAGAGCTCAGAAAGATTGGACAGCTCTGTCTGAAGCAGATGGGAAGGGCTTTACAGAGCAGGTAACATTTGAGCTAATCTTGAAAGGTGTTAGTACTTGTCAGATGGAAAAAAGTTTAGAGCATCTTGGTCAAAGGAGTAGAGCGTGACCAATGCTTCTTGTGTTTGGGAGATATAAGCAATTCTGTTTAGTCAACATAGTGTTAAGAGATGAAGATGAAGAAACATGTGGAAGAAATCCAAAGGTCCAGAATGCCAGAATAAAACATGTGAATACAGAAGCAATACTGGATCTTAATAAGGAAAGAGAAGTACAATTTCCTTTTAGAAATATAGTTCTGGTATCAGTAGTAATGATGAACTAGAAGGGGGAGATATTGGGTGACAGGAAAAAGAAGGTTATTCCAGAGTAATGACAGCCTGAAATTAGAGTTGGAAAGAATAGAGAAGAGAGTGCAATTTTGAGAGCTGTTAAGGAGATAATATTGTTATGAATTGCCATCCAGCTGTGGACCTGTATGGTGAAAGAGAACAATCTAATGATCACTTTCATTTTGGTGGCAAATGGTGTTGGCCATCCTGAGTTTGAGATATGTGTAGGATATCAGATGAAGAAGCAAGGAGATAGTTGGTAAAGTGAGACAGTTGGAGCCATGGGTGGTGATAGGAGGAGAGGCCTAGGCAAGAACCTTGGGTAACACCTTTATGAGATACCTTTATCAGAGAGAGAAATATCAGCCAAGTGAGTTCTTGAGGACAAGGGTTTTATGTTATTGAACATGTAAGTAATTTCATGGCATATCACAATGCCTGGCATATAGTGGTAATTCAGTAAATATATATTTGATAAATGGAAGGAAGACTAGAGGATTAAATGGAAGAAAAAACAGTCAGAGAAGAGTCTAAAAGGATAGCATTGAGGAATATAAAGAAAGTGTCCTTAAGGTATTCTGGGAATAAAGGATTCCATACACGGGGCCGGCTGAGTGGCTCAGTTGGTTAAGAGCTCACTCAAGAGTGCGATCTCTGAGCAACAGCGGTTTGATGCCCGGCCCGAGCTGAGCTGCCACTGAACTGCCAACAGGTGGCAGGATGGCTCAGCTTAAAAAAAAAAAAAATTCCATACACTGAGATTTTAGAATACATGCAATTCAGCTTAAACAGTCACAGGGATTCTGCAGAATTTTGTCTGCGTCTACAAACATTTTTGTTCCTCTTGGGACTCAGGGTGTTCTTTTGTCTTTGACCCACTTTACTTTCTTGTTCCCTTATTGGATTTCTCCAGCCACTCTTCTCAGTCGACCACACCTGTTTCCCCTTCCTGGATTGTTTCTGCTGTCTGTGGCTTCAGACCTGATCTCACACACACGCAGGGAACAGCTTCTGGTTTCCAGTACTGACAATTCTAAAACCTCTGCTTCCTCCTACCTCTCACATCCTCCTGTTAAATGCAAGTGACTAGTGACTAGCAGTGTTAAAACATCTCTGGTTGGGTAGATAGGAAATAAAAGATTAATTAGCATTGAGCAGTTAGAAATTTAGCAACATTGTTAGAATGGTATAATGGAGGGAGAATTCAAGTTCCAATATACTGAAGAACGAATGGGAAATTAGAATTGGAGAAAGCTACTGGGAATTTTTTTTCCCTTCAGAAGTGTGACAATGAATACAAGGGAGTAAAGATTCCATTTAGGAATCATTTTATTTATTTAGTGAATCAGTAGAGGAGTTTGACATCCCACAGTGGAGATAATATGGGTAGAACCAGATCCTAGGTAAGCAGGAGTGCGTGGAATTAGGATCTTGGCAAGAAGACAGATTAGCCTTGTCTAGAAATAAGGCTCTTAAAATTTTATTTTTTATATTAAAAAATCTATTTTTACTATAAAACAAAAATAATAACACTATAGAAAATTTAGAAAACAGAATAGAAAACACCCATAATCTTATCATCTTAACACAATGCCTACTAGTACTATGCAGAATTCACACTAACATTTATTAGCAGCTTACTATATCAACATAACTATTCACGAAGCTTTGCAGGTATTACCTCATTTGCTCTCACAGCATGAGTCAGCTACTGTGACTGAATTCCATTTCACAGGTGAGGAAACTGAGGCAAATCAGATAATTTGGAGACAGGTAGGAAGCGGTACCCCAGGATCTGCAGTCACAACTCCTGACTCGAGTCTGAATTCCTGACTACTGCACTTCTTGTGACACTTTTCTCCAAATGTATTTTTATGTGGCTGTTATATCAAGCATAATAATTGGTCTTGATTTTCACTTATTTAATAAGCATTCAGTGTTATTACAGAGATTTTAAAAGATCTTTTAATGATAAAAACCAATATTTCTTTAAGCCAATATATAAATTTTCCATTAACTAATTCCTTCTCTTTCTGGGCAATAGATTTTTTTCCAGATTTTAAAATAAAAATAGTCTATGAACATCTAAATGTATATGTCTCTTTATATGCCTTGAAATATTTCCTTAGGACAGAGTTTTAGCAGGAGCCAAGGATGAATCTTTTTCTAGTTCCTGTTGCCAAGTCCCTTCTTGAAAGATCGTACCACTAAATGTTAAAAATTGATAAAGATTTGTTAGGCATTGTTTTAATTCACATTTATTTGATTTATAATGAGATTGAACATTGCTCCAGATGTTTGTTTTCATTATTTTTCTTATTCTTGTATCTGAGCACCTTGCTAAACTCTTAATAGTCTTAATTGCTTATCATTATTTCCTTTGGATTTTCTAGGTAGACAATCATATTACACTTTTGTCTTTCTCTCTTTAGTATATATACCTCTCATTTCTATTTTCTATATCATTGCACTGCCTATAATCAATAATATGATACTGAAAGTAAAGTCCCTTCACTGACTTTAATGGGAATGATTCTAATGCTCCACTATTAAGTATTATTTTTGAAGAAGATTTCTGATATGTCAAGGTAAGAACACCTGTATCCATTCCCAGTTTGCTAAGAATGTTTAAAAATCAGGAATAGACCTTAAGCTATGAAAAGTTTCCCCATGTGTTCAAATATATAGTCCCAGATTAAAAATGGTTAATTTTCTCATAGCAAACCACCTTCATATTTTTTGGCTAAGCCCTATATGGTTGTGATATGTTATTATTACATTTCTGGATTTGAATTGCCAGTATTTTACTAAGATTTTTACATTTATGATCCCATTTAAGATTATGATTACATTTAAGATCAGACAGTAGTTTTCCTTTTTGTGCTATCTTTCTCTGAGTCAGGTATTAGGGTAATGCTAGTACATAAAAAACATTGGTAAGCTTTCCTTCCATCTTTTCAATTTTGTTTATGCTTGTAACAGTTTATAGATTATGTGTATTACCTACTGCTTGTATGGTTGGTAGAATTCGCACAGCTGAAAGGGGAAGGGCAGACGATCCTCCAACATCCTGACCAAGGGATGGGATGGTAAAATATTTGATACCCCTGAGTTCTTTCACACTCAGAAGAGGAAGTGTGGGTGAGGTCAAAGCCCAGTTCCAAGCATGACTGTGAGGAGAGTCAGATGGAAATTCCTATTGCGAAGACCCTGCTAAAATCAATCCCCGAGGACAATTGCTTTGCCTCAGGGTACATTCATAGAATTGGGGAGCTCATCTCAATGAGAGGCCTTTTCAGTGTTAGGGGAAGGGGAGCAAACACATCTTACTATAAGGACACATCCTGTGGTGTGAAGTTGCTGCCCAAAGTTGGTATTGAGCTGCAATTGAAGGTCAGCGCTGATGGATTTACAAGTCCTTCTAGTAAAACAGTCATTGGTATAGCAGCAAGGACCTGTATTCAGGAAAAGTTTCCAAGAAATCGTGGCCTGAGGAGAAATTTTTGGAGGTCCTTCAAGAACTAAAACGATTGTAGTAAAAGATATTCTTTCTGTGTAAAAGCCTGGTATTGCCTTGGAAAGGGAAGGGTTCTTGGCTCTTGGAAAGCACTCTGGTGGAGATTAAAATCTCTATAATGATCATTTTCAAGACATCCTGCGACTGTCCCATGATCACCATTAACGCACTGGCTGTGGCAGAAATGCTGTTATTCAGGCACCTGAACCTTACAAAGAACATTGGTAAATGGTACTGAGCATTGAAGTACAAAGAGGAAGAAGGAAGGAAAGGTTCAAAGATGGGTTAAAAAAAAATTATGGTGTCTACAATGATTAACAGTTTAAAATTTCAGGAATAGACCTGATTTTGTAGGCACTGGGCCTACAAAGGTGAAAAATGATACAGGATTTACTTTCAAGGAACTTAGAGTCTAGAGACTCGAGACCAATAAACAAATGATTTTATCATATGGTCAAAGTCATGCAAAGTGATGCCTTATTTTTTGTTGTTGTTCTACACTAAGAGAACCTGACAGCTATTTGGGGAATAGGTAGAGGCAAAGGGGTCACTCATTTACAAGTCTCGTGAGAACTTGCTAGTTATGCAAACCCTGGTACAAAAAAAAAAAAAGTGCAAAATTTTACTTTGAATTTGTCAATCTGTGCAGAATTCTGAGAAGTAAATGGTTTCACTTGCATAATGGGTTCAGGGCCTTCTGGATAGAAGGGAAATGATGGTATCATGCCCAACTTTTTTCTAAGCTATTCAGAATTAGGGATATCTATGTGTAAAGCACAGTGATCTTGGCCAAGAGCCATTGGGAGAAGTGGGACCATTATGCTGGCTCTCACTGAGTTTGGAGGTTAGAAAGTGGTATGATTGTGGGTGAGTGGGTCTTTAGCTAAAGATGGTGTTGTAAGTTGAACTTGAATCCTGAGAACCAATCATGCGAGAAGTGAAAGAAGTACTTGGTTACTGAAAGCTATAATATTGGGTGCTGAGGAGGAGGTGGACAGGTGAGGTAGTCTCATGAGGTGGCACTAGTGTGGTTAGGAACTGATCAAGGAGGTGGTCAGTGCAGTGGGAATTGGGTTACGTATGGAGGGCCTGAGCAGATAAGTAAATATATTTAGGAGCCAGGCTTCTCACTGATAGAACTAAAAGAAGTTACAAATTACGAGTATGAGAAGGATAGAAGGAATCCTGTTGTGTTGGATTATAATTGGAGGTGTTGGTGAAAACTCATGGTATTTATCTCTGTCTCTATCTCTCTAAACTTGACCCCTGCTTCTACCATGTCATAGTCTATGTCAAAATCCATATCTGTGTATCTACACATATTTTACTAAACAGAATATTATAAAATTGATATAGATGCCAGTGTGTCGGGGCATGGAACTAACTCCATCTTCTAAGAGGACATAGGAACAATGTTTATCTAGTAGCCATGAGCACAACAAAACACAGATCTTGATTTCTAAATACCATTTTCTCTTAAAAGGAATCAGGAGTCTTTGGAGCAATGGCTGACTCTAAGACTAGTGCGGTACAAGGTGAACTTGGAACACCTTTGAGAGCCAAAAAGAAAATTCTCAAAGAATAATATAGATATATAAAAAAGACACAGAAACTAGCTTGAAGGGGCTCCCAGTGGTCCAAACTGGGAGCACTGAATAAAATTACTGTTGAATAAAATATAAATCCATGAGCCCATACTGATATAAATACATGAATGATTGAATAAACAGTAAGGAAAGAAAGCTTCCTTGTAGTAATAATGTAGATGGTTAACATTTTAGCTTGAGTTTAGCTTGAATGTGGCCATATTCCCATTGTACTGATAGGACAACCAATAATTAATGTGGGAACTGTGATAAGATTATTTCTGAAAGTTGCTTGTCACAGAGGTCCTGTAATTGGATTACAATGTGAGAAGGTGTATTTATATACTATACTTAGCACTTAATATTTATATTATGTATCGAGATTTTTTAGATTTGCAATTTCTTCTTACTTTTATCCTTAATTGTGTTAAAGTAGTTGAAAATAACTTTGTGACTTTAGGAGCATAGGCCAAATTTGAAATAAAGTCTGTTCTTCAAAATGCTTCTTTCTCTACCTGATCATGATCAACTGATCTGCTTTTTTCCCCCCCTTAGGCAGGAAAAGTTATTCCAGTCGGATACAGAGTTGCAACTTGCTTAACTGAAAAACTTCCCAGGGTGAGCATTTTCAACATGCATTTGTGTTTATGTGCATTTGTGTTTTTACCTTGCATATGAACTTTAGAAGATAGAAAAGTCTCAACATGCCTTATGAGTTGTATAAATTTAATACGTGGGATATGGATTTGGATTCTTTACTATTTTGATGTCTTCTATTGATTTTGTCCAAGGAAGTCAAAATTTCAGTTCTACAATTTCCAGCTCTGTAAAATAACTACAGGGGATTCCATTTCTTTCAGTAGAAAATAGCCATTTATGGTATGTTTTCTAACCTGGGTACTTCCTGGTTGTTTTCTAAGTATATCTTTTAAAATAAGTTGTTTATTTCCATTAAAAACCCCCAAATTTCAGGAATTTTCATTATGTGGAGCTGTAGGTCCCCACATGCTTACTACACTCATGCAGTGAAGGGTGTTCATTGATTGGTGTAAATCAGTCCTAATATTTAAAAAAACTGTACTTTATTCTATTTTCTTGTCTCACTGTAGTTAATTACTCCACCTGAGGCCAAAAAATTTTTCAACTTCAGATATCCACCTGCTGGAGCTGAAAGAGTATTTTATGGCAGAGCAAATGATCCTCAAATCGCACCTTATTTGACACATGGAATAAAATCTAAAATTTCCATACCGGTAACTTCTTTTCTTTTTTTTCCTTGTCCATTTTGAACTTACCAAGGTGAAAATGCACAAATGAGATGTCAGTGAAGCCATCAGTTTCAATCTCCTCCCCACCATTAATCTTGAGCCATGAAAAAACAAATGTAAGAAATGGCAGCCGAAAGAGTGTAGGGAAATTAATGGTTTAAGCCACAGACTAGATGTTTTCCCCTCAGATAATAAAAGCCAAGTTCACTCCATTTGCTGACAGTAAGGAGAAATGCTGTCAGGCTTTGTTAGGGAACGGAGCCCCCACCACAGAGGCTGGGTGATTATAGCCTGCGGGCCCTACAGAGTACTTAGGTATGTGCACTGAATGGAGGTGGGCCTGAATGTTACCTGCTGTTCATTGAGTGAACAATCTAGGTGCACAAGAAAGCTTGTGGAAATCATGTGGTTCTTGTGCTTGCCACTCCCACTTTTCTGGAATGTTGGAGTCAATAACCTGGGGGCTCCTCTCGTACACCTTTTAGCCCTTTGAAACCTTTTAACTTCTTTGAAAGGTCCTGTGTAGGCTGGTTTAAGCTTCATAGTCCCAATTCTTACCATTCACTTGAAGGTGAGCAAAGCCAATGTTGAGGAATTGTTTTTCTACAATTACAGTTTCTTCTTTCCAGCTATTGACCAGAGTTTCAGCTTTCAGATTTTTAATTTCCTTGTTCTTACATTTGTGCTTTGTATGATTTCTCTAGGCAAAGGTGTTGATAAACCCACAGCCTATCACAACATTTCAACAGAAAATTAAAGATAAAAAGGAATCAATATACTTTAGCAATCAACGATCACCGTTAGGAAAGTCCCATGATCAAACGCCAGGATTACCTAAAGGCCTGGATGTACTCAGTACGACCTTTGGGAGCACAGCCATCAGAGGTAGTAAAAAAAATAAGGAGTGGGGTGGGATGGTAAAATAAGTCTTCTTAGAAAATATGATTTAATATCCTGTTGGTATGGTGTTTGGTGGTGGTGCCAATGACGACTGAAGAATGAAGGATGGGATCATAGCAAGAAAGTTACCTTTAGATCCAGAATCCTTGGAGTTTATGTGCCAGGCAGTAGAAATTCAGGCTTTGGAGTGGGGATTCAGTGCGCATAGTGAGATGATGTGAAGACCAGAAAGACACTCAGGGAAGGAGACATGGAGATCCAACTGCGAAGGCTGCAGTCCCTTCTCCCTGGACGTTCGTTGGTGGGTTTTATTTCCATCAGTGCTTCTGATGTGTTCATAACTCTTAACTTGTTATGAAACTGTTTCATCAAGTAGACCTCAGAACAAATAAGTTTGGTAAATGCTGCACACCGTCCTCCATTTGTGCAGACCCAGTGTCCCCCCGAATATTAACCAGACATAGGCAGTGTATAGAGCTGACTAGCACTCTCATTTTGAAAGGGAGTGGAGCACGTCTTTCAACAAACAACAGCGTATGATTGGGTTGGTTACAGGCCATTATTTCTTCTGAAGCCCCAGCATCCTGCCATGTTGTTGGGTGCTTTTCTTTACATCTTTCTCATATTTGTCTCCTACTTCCGTTTTCAGGTCTCTGCCATCTCCAGGGTTTTACAGGAGACCTCAAATTCCATCTTGGTTTATCCTGGAGAGGAATTCAGTTTTCTTTATCTTTCTGTACCCATTATTAAGGCTCTGCTCCAGGAATTTGATCTTTTTTGCACCAAAAGCTCTATTATTTTCCCTAACATAGTAACATCCACTCTGGAGATAAATTATGTCTCTCTCTTGGAATTCAAAATCTGAAATAGTATTTTATAGTATCAGATTTAAAGTTAAAATTTCAAATATGGAAAAATGTATTTTAGAACAGATAAAAATTTTTTTCTTTAATAGGATTAAAAAAGTATTTATGTAGACATGGCATTATAGCATTACAGTAATTATATCATAATTGCTATCTAGGATTAGTTCATTTAATAAGGAAAATACCTCCTAGGTGTACCTCACTTAAATATGTAATAGCAAGAATGTCCCAAAATGTGTATCTGTGTATTAATAGGTATATTGGTTCATATACTAAAAAGAAGTACTGTTTTACAGGATTATTTTGAGTAGGACTATCTTCTGGTATTTTGTTTACAGATCTTAATTATTATTATTATTATTATTTTT